TTTTAAATCTATAATACATTTAGTGTTATGTTATCTGTTTACACACATCTATTTTTGGTAATTTCGCTCTTGACTACTGCGGTATACTGTGCGACGTAATAACGATATGATTAACATTGTTTAATCATGATAAAGAATTCTTAGTTCCACGACCAATCCGGAACACTCAATCGACTTTTAGAACATTATTTGTAATAAAAACAACGTAAGCTTTATAAACTGCACCAAAAAGTTCAAAAGGCCCATCACAGTTATCGACTAGGTGCTTTACTTTACCGAGAGCACTGCCGAGAGTACGTCTGCGGGTGTGCAGAGCCGCTCACGGCTTTCTTTCTGTTATAATGCGAATGCAACTAACCCACGCATCCACGTGGCCGCTGGGAATTATATACCCGACCCGGTAGACCGAATGGTAAACAGTCGACGTCGCCCAAAACACGTCATTACGGATCCTCCCGATCCATTAACGGCGCTTTTAGGTACCACAAGCACCGGTCACCGTCTTCGTCGAACCCGTCGCTTGCGACGAATGGCTCGACGAGCGAATTAACCCATAGACACACACAGCCCACTGAATTTCTCGCCAGATCTTCTCAGTGGGTTGCGTTTCCAGTGGTAGATTCTGCGAAGCATTGCTCTTGCTAGGACCAGTGTTAGCAACACACCCGGTTTGAGCCCCGTGAGCTCACCTACACGTCAAGGAGATGCTGATATAGCCTCTCAAGGCTATCAGCATAGGTAGAAAAAAAAAACACGCATCTACAACGCACATTACGGCTGCAAAGCAGTCGTGCGGTCCAGTTTACGATATAATCGACCTGCTGTCTCAAGGTGAGGTGCAGTCAGGATGTGAACAGTTCTCTACCTCAGATATATTAGAAGACTAGGTAAAACAGTTATATTAATATATTCTATTGATTTATCACATCATCATTTGCCAATTTGATTTTGTTTATTAACAAGTATAATTTGAAAAGTTGTTACCTTCCCGACAATAACAATACGTAGCACGAGTCGCCTTCAAAGCACTGAGTAGTAACATATCAGTAATGGTAACACTAGACTAATTACTCGTTTATTCTGATCGAGTGTGCTCTGGCCTGACGCCAGCACGCACCGCGCTATGCGCCGCGCCGCCCCGGTCGGTGTCAACAACCGAAATCAGTTTTCAAGTTGAACTTGTAGCAGAAGCCCACATTAAAAAAGAACTGATTTTCTTCTTAAAGACAAGGTCGCGCCAACGGTTGGAAAATTATGATCATTCTATGACGTTGCATTAACGGTAGACCTGATATCTCAAGATGGGTAGCGGCATTCACATTGTGGTAATGGTTCCTTTTTAACAACTCATGGGACGAAAACTAGTCTGTTCATATAGCCTATCTTAAGCCATGAAAATAGTAAGAGGTAGTTATTATTGTTGGACTTCTATTTTTACTGATTTTCTGTGTCGACTGCTAATGCTTGGCGCTAATTGTTGACCTACCTACTTATTATTTGTTAACATTGACGATTAGGCACCCAGAGAACGCAAATTTTGCTATTTAATATCAGAATTTATTTAACCACTCATATGATTTCTGATTGTCGGCTTCCAGAAACAGGGCGTCACACTTTTTCTTAATGTGGTCACAGTGTACTACAATATTAAAAAAAGGTATCTTCATTAAGTCTATTTTAATGAAATGCTTTACAAAACTTAATCAAAGCAGGAAGGAGGGTAAGGCCATTAACATAGGCTCTATAATAATTATGTACTAGCTTTTGTCCGCGACTCCGTCCGCGTGGAATAGTTACTTTGGCATAACGCTAAATTTTACCCTCCACGTCATTTACGTAGAAAGTGAAAATATTTTTGAATTATAGAATTTTAAGGAGCTATTTGAACCCCTATTTTGAAACATTCTTTATTGGTGCTCCACTTGTATTGGTTTTACCGTGATGTTATATAGCCTATAATAGCCTTCCTCAATAAACTAACACACAAAGAATTTTTCAAATCGGACCCGTAGTTCCTGAGATTAGTGCGTTCAAACAAACAAACTCTTCAGCTTTATAATATTAGTATAGATTTATTTGTGTGCTAATTTACTTAATTACTTAGGTACTCTTGATAGGGCATGTTATAAACTGTTACAGGTACAAACCGTGGCATATTTTAGCATTAAGCAACCTTGTCTACAAGGATTACTGCCTTATAAATTAACGGAAAAACATTTCTATAAATCTTACAACCAAACAAGTTTTGTTAATTAAGTAATTTTTTAAATTACATTTTATATTTATATAATATAGTTACTACAAAACTAAGTGCGAGGAGGTGCGCCATGCGCAGATAGCCGCCCTGAGCAATGGCCTTTTTGGTACTTAGGTAAATACCCAGGGAGTAGGAACCACCATTCTGCATATTTATGTAGTGAAGGTGTGATCTGGTTTGAAGTGGGTCATGTTTTAAGTAGTGATATTAGCCTTTAGTGCTTTTTTGGCCCCCATGGAGTCGTTTATTACTTTTCCGTCTGGAGACAAATGTTTTTAACATAATTAAGTTTAAGATTATGATGAGAGTAGAGTGATCGTGAAGACTTGTTTGATTTGACAAGCATTAAAAGATATTGTGAAAGAGAATGTTTAATAAAATTCTGACACTTGAAGTAGTGACGATGAAATTATACTAACAAAGAGATGAATGAGAATTATTGAAAGTGAAAGTCAAGATGCGATTAGATGAATGGCGCTATGTCACGAAATAGATATTCCGGATAGAATACATCATAGTGAATCACCAAAGGTCATTGGACCACAATTTACTACAGATATTGTGCAACCGACACATTATTTACTTATTTATTTATTATCTTTAACAAAGTAAAGCCAGGACGCACATGGGAAATTGTTATCAAAAAAATCACACCCTGGTGACTAAATTTTAAATTTATCTTTCATTTACAAGAAAATACACTTGTTTAAAAACAAAATTTGTAAATTAAATATTACATGTGATTGTTTTCGCATAAAATAAGGGTCTTATTTAAAAAATGAACTGGACTAGGGTGTTAGAAACAGTGGTACAAAAACGTGTGGAGCACTACGGGAGCACTTAGCATTGTGACATTTATAAATTGTAACAGGTGGACTGTGAATTATTCATATAATATAATGAGAAAGTTTACAGGATAGACCTGTGAGGTACCATAGCTTAATGAAACATTGAAATCGTGCAAAGGTTCCAAAACAATATTCTCAGAATGATAATAGATGGCGTAATTGTTCTACGAATGACTTCCACAATTAAGAAATAACAACATTGTGTAATAAAACATACAAAAAATAAAATTTTCATAGTTAATTTGGTAGCAGATCATGTCTCGGGATGGGTGGCACAATTTTTTTTTTTAATGAAAAAACTTTGCTACATCACCTTTATTTTGACAATGTCACAGTGTGCACAAAAATGACAGATGCTTATAGACAAAAAAATCTAAATACAAATAAATTTGATCAGTTTTTTCGTACACTATTCAGAGAATGATGTCAATGGACCCGGATGAACCCTTAGTATTAGGTAGGTTGTGAACTTATTTACACATCCAGGTAATACCTGTCTTTAATACTTATTTTTGGGCGATAAGGTAGGTGCAGTACTTGCAAAAAATACTATTTACAAAAAATAATTATGAATCCACTCCAATCCCCTAATGCAAGATATTATGTAAAAACAAAGTTGTGGAGATTAAGACGTTGTACCGCACAAGGTCGTGTCAGAATCAGAAATAAGGGAAGTTTAATTAGACTTGCTTCTCAAATGCTATAATTTAGACTCTTGGTTTTTAGTACTTGCTCTCTAGATTACAAGAAAAAAATTTAAGACAACTTTTTTTTCAAACTTTGCAAGTCATACAACGTGCATAATCAGAAACAGTTTAGCCTATATATTTTATAATTTTAAGTTAAAATTCTTCCTTGACAGTGCAAGTAAGTACTCGCGACATATTAGTTTGCACAGACAATCATAGAGAAGTTGCTCACAGTACTTTACCTTAATAACAATAAAGTTACTCATACAGTTTCGTCTTACATTTATTATTGTTAGTTATTTCTGTATTAAAAGGAATATGAATGTCAAGAAACATTTTGTTTTATCAAAGTTAAACATTATGGTAAATGCTATCTATATTCAAATGTTGACTAACAACACTTCAGTCATGCTTGACTGCTAAGGTATTTTTTAAATGTCTGTAAAAATAAAATGAAAATACTAAACATGAGATTTAACTGTGAAAGTAATTATAATTATATAATTCATGAAATATAACTACAAAATAACAAAAATACCAACCACAGTCGCAAATTAACCTAAATAGCAGATTTAGGGAATGATTCTATAAGATAAAATATTAATGTAATTTGATGATTAACTTGTTTAATATTTTCAGAATTAAACTCCATTTATTAGAAGACTCATTTTTTTAGTACCTACCTACAAAAACTCAAAATTTTTAGTTCACAGATATAAAGTTAAAACTACGAAATAATTAAAAAAAAAATCCAAGTATAAAAAGGAAGCACACTTTATTTTCACACCAAAAATATCATGTCAGCTGTTTATAAGCTACCTTTTGCAAATAGAGTACCATGTAATGATCGTAGTAGGTACTCATTATTCCACGCAACATTTGACAGTTATAAACACATTCCGACCTTCAGGTGCGATTACTACATGTCTACAGAGACAGAAATAGCTGCATCCATTCATAGCGAATTCGAGAATAGTGCTGGCTAAGCGCAGAATTACTATACGACGGAATGCGAGGGCGCGGAATGCACATGACTGTGGCCGACATACGCACATTACGTACATTACGTAGGTAGGTACGGAGCTGAGATAAAGCAAAACACCTCATGCTTACGCCGTGTGACACGAGCGCGCCGCACTGCCAAGACCTAACCAACACGTCAAACTCGTTCACGTTGCCTCGACCCAAGTTAAAAATATTACTTACCCCAACACTCCCGGCTTGTACGCATAATTAGGTATTCGCCACGGACAGCCTCCGTATTCTCCTATGAGAGCATCGTGATTTTTATTCAGGTTAAAAGTTGAGGCTCGATTGTCGTTAACTTTCCTCCGCGCGGGATTAAAATAATTATTATTCCTATTTTCACCATTCACGTCATTTATTGGTATAAAGTCCTGTGCTTTGTTCACATTAGGGTTTGCGTTTTCTATGTTTTTCAAGTTCATTTTGTCTAATTCACTTTGAGTATCCCAAATACGAAGCCACAGGCGCTTCGCGGGTCCTTCCTGCTCGGGCTGATACCACGCGACGGCGGGATCCATTCAGCCGGAGCAAGATTACACTATATTCGATAAAACATACTGTGGCTTTTCGCATTTATAATATTGCTAGGATAATTTACACAAAACAAAAATAAGTCACACCACATTCGGAACATGGACGACACGCGTATATTTGACACATTAACTGCTAGAGGGCGCCATCTAAGCAAAATAAGTTCCAGACATTAGTCAACACAACTCCTTTTAAAATTGTCAATTAAACTTCTGTAAGCACGAAAATATTCTAAAATATAGAATTTAAATTGTTTAAACTATATTTTAGACAAAGGTAAAATCGGGGCCTCGTAAACATTTCATAACCTTCATTTGTTAGGGATTAATTTTGATGTAGTTTAATGAGGATATTCTGGATACACAGTTGATTCCCAGAACGTTGAAAAGAAAGAAATAAAATAAAATAAATTACCGTTTGAAAATGCACGATTAATGAGAAAATCATAAGAAAAATATTAAATTATGTTATGAGTGGAATAAATAAAATATAGGACAGAAATAAATAGTTCAGGCGCAAATGTGAAGATAATGATAAAAGATACCTTGGCTTAACTGACCAAGCTAAAAAGCATAAAGTTTCCCGCGCCAATTTAATGACTGTCAATACGACATCCAGCAAGTTAAAATTTTGGAATATTCCTGTAGGTTAAAACAAATATATTAAGTATATAATCTATGGGTTAACATGTAAAATCAGGTTTTTTTGAAAACCAGAACATAATATTATAGTGATTGGAATCAATTTTTTCTGGAACCAGTAAACAATAACTAGCTGTATGGTGTCGTCAAGTGACCGGGTTCATACTGTGATTACCGTGATTTGTAAATGAATTTGACTAAATCTTTATTCGTAAATAGATTAGTAAAAATTAGCTATTGTTTGTTATATAAACAGATTACAAGTAACCGTACAATCTGCTATAACAATAAGATTTACCAGGAAACCAGTCACAACATGGCTCAAAGGAGTATCACGTCATTCTTCAAGAAAACTCCATTTACACCTATGGAAATAAAAAGTAATGGTGGATCCAAAGTAAGCCATGTAAATGGGGACACATCACCCATATCCGACGAAAAAGACAAGGTATGTATCGTTTAGATTTCATTAAATTCACCGGCGCCTTCAAAGACAACCAATACCATTTTGGCAGTAGGCAGCGGCTTGGCTCTGCTCCTGGCATTGCTGAAGTCCATGGGCGACGGTAACCACTTACCATCACGTGGGCCGTACGCTCGTCTGCCAACAAAGGCAATAAAAAAAAAATACATAAAGTTATTAGTGTCTATTTAATTCCGATGAACTCCCAGATTGCGATAATCATAATCTAAAAATGTAAGTTTATCTTTGTATATACTAAGAATACTCCCATTCAATACGAAGAAAAAAATGTTTAAAAGTATTTCAATAGAAAATTAATTAAAATCTGTAATACGAACATTTTGAAAATATTGATACCAACACACCCACAGCCTTCTGAAAGACAACAATCCAACAGCATAGATAATGACGGTGACTCCCAAGATTCTTTGAAACCGAAAAATAAAGCTAAACGACAACGTGTGATAAGCTCTAGTAGTGAATCAGAATCTCCAGTTAAAGTGAAAAAGGAAGACCTTTCAGACAATGATGACTCTATAACTTTAAACAAGAGCGTAAACAAAACTTATGACTCACCAAAAAATAAAAAAGCTAAAATAAAAAAAGAAATCAAAAGCCCATCACCTAAAAAGGGTGCAAAGAGTTTGTCTCGTGATGAGGTAAAAGAAAACAGCTTAAAATTGAAGATTGTTGGATCAAAGGAAAAAGACAATATTGTGAAAAATACCGAGCATATTGATAATATTGAAAATGAGAGTGAAGAAATACAGAAAGTAGCAGGTATGTATTTTTCACAAGTTAATGATTGCAATAACAGTAATGTACACAGACCAAAGAAAGGGAACCAATCTACTTGGTAGACAATAGCTTAGCTGACTGTGTCTCTAGCATTGTTAGTGTCCATGAGTGAAAGTAAGCATTTGCATTCATGTGGACTAGTATTGCATATTATAGCAATTAAGAAAAACTGCTCATTTCTATAATTTCCCTAATACACCTTTCCAATAATGTAAATACAGTCAAAACCGTTTACTGCGACATCGTTTAATACAACATGCCGGTTATAATAACCAAGAACAAAGGTCCCGGCTGAATGCTATATGACCGCCTTATTAAAAATATTGCTTTCTACGACATTGGTAATAACGACAAACCTCATAAAACGACCACATTTAACTAATATTTCGGAGAATTAGATCTGTTAGAACGACTGGCTAAGCTGTATTGTAAACAATTTGAATAGGTATCCACATTTGTCTTCAATGGCTTTTAAAATCAGGAAAGAAAACAATAGGATTTAGTTTAGTGCAGTGTCTTTTCTAATTCTTAGAAACAAAACACGTGCATGCGGTAGTCAAAGCCCAATTCTTCATATCTCTTCAGTTAGTTTGTTACTTATCTATACACAAGACGCACCAAAACTTTGTGGAGTTATTCGTGAAACTTTCAAAATCTCGCAAAGAACAAGAAAACAAATTAATATTGAAGAAAAATCGCGTATTATGTAAATATGTTTTTCCAATAATTCCCTATCGATTTGTTTGTACTTGCACGATACACATTAAGCATCACCGGTTGTTACGACTATCGGTTTTTACGACTGAATATGAGCAGTCCCTTCGATGTCGTTATAACAGATTTTAACTGTATATGCCCTGAAATGCTTAATCTTAATTATTTTTTGTGATATGAATCTTAGAAAATGTTTTGGAATTTTACCAATAGGATGGAGTGACAATTAGAGATGAAATGGATATCCGGTAACTATCCGATATATGGTCTATCCGGCCAAATTTTCACTATCCGGCCGGATACCGGATAGTAAATCAGTATCTGGCCTGATTTCGGATAGTAAAATTTAAAAAATCTCATGGTTATACAAAAGGCAAATAATACCACAATAGGTTATGGACAATTTTTATTTTTATAATCGCGCGTCTAAAGTGATTGTTTGATTAAATAGTTTGTTTAATACTCAAAATTAACAAGTTGCAAATTGTGGTGAATGAATACCTAATCGTCGTCGTACCGAGTCGTCGCGATCTCCGTTCACGTGCGACAACACCCGAACGTGCACGAATATCTCCGAAAGGGCCGAATATCCGGCGCTCCGGCCTCGCAGCTTGCCAAATATTCGGTATCCGGCTAAACCAGTATCCGTTTCATCTCTAGTGACAATGCCTTGGTTTATTTTAAAAGGTGTAGCTGTGTGTAATCAGCCTCATCATCAGGATCACACTTGGCAAAGCAGTTAAATATAGCAGCTTACCGGTAGCCACTTATATCTATTTTATAATGTTCAAGAAGTCCAATCTCGTATGTGGTTCTCACTTAACTCTTATGCCCACCATCACATATACTAAACTTAAGACCCATACAAGTAATGCTTGGAAATGTTACTAAAAATTAATTGTAGGTNGTGTAATCAGCCTCATCATCAGGATCACACTTGGCAAAGCAGTTAAATATAGCAGCTTACCGGTAGCCACTTATATCTATTTTATAATGTTCAAGAAGTCCAATCTCGTATGTGGTTCTCACTTAACTCTTATGCCCACCATCACATATACTAAACTTAAGACCCATACAAGTAATGCTTGGAAATGTTACTAAAAATTAATTGTAGGTATCTTGCGTTTTGCATTTGACGTATCACCTACTAATGGTCTAAACATAAACTTGACATTAAAGTAGTTTAACCATTTGTCCTTCTTTGTCCTGGTGCCAACATATATAACTATAATTTTTTCTTCCAGAAAATGCATACAATCCATCAAAATCAAAATACCACCCTATAAAAGATGCTTGCTGGTCTAAAGGCGAACCAGTGCCGTATCTTGCATTAGCTAAGACTTTGGATCTTATAGAAGGAACATCAGCTCGACTGAAGATAATAGAAATATTAAGTAATTTTTATAGGTCCGTAATGGTGTTGACTTCAGAAGACTTGTTGCCTTGTATTTACTTGTGCTTAAATCAACTAGCACCAGCATACCACAGTTTGGAGCTTGGTGAGTTCAGAAATACCTGAATTTTATTTATATAAAGACAAGAAATTTGTCAGGAGCTTACTTTGAGTCTGGTCCTAAATTTATGAAGAAAAGCAAATGAGCACCAAAGAGATCTTGTCTTATATAGTTAACGAAACTTTTACACACAACATGTATACTACTCGTCTATTACATCACTTTTTTTTCCATACCTGTTCTACTAACCTCGAGGTGTTATTCTAGATTCACCGAACTTGTAGGTGAGCTCACGGGGCTCAAACTGGGAGTGTTGATAACACTGACCCTAGCAAGAGCAGTGCTTTGCAAAATGTATCACTGGATCGGAAACGCGACCCACTGAGGAGATCCAGCGAGAAACTCAGTAGGCTGTGTTTTTTTTTACTCATCGAGCCCTTGGTCGCAAACAACGGGTTCGGCGAGGACGGTGACCGGTGCTTGAGATCTAAAATTACCGTTAATGGATCGGGAGGATCCGTAATGACGTGTTTAGGGCGACGTCGACTGTTTACCATTCGGTCCACAGGAATGGGTATGATCACATCATAGGCCATCTTAAGATACATATATAATAGCATCATCGAAGTCTCAATTGCTTCACCGCACAACTAAGCAGGATCGTGATACCAGCCCACACAGCGTTTATCAGCATTACAAAATTAAAACAATTCCCACAACACCATACATAAGATTGTTACATTGTTATTGATTGTTTTTAATGTTATTTAAATTTATTGCTTTTCAACAGTAGAATTGGGATACTGTTCTCAGTGTCCTATTCAGATGATTTTGTTAGGTTCTAATTATTCATGTGGTATCACCAGGCATAGCAGAAACGTACCTAATGAAAGCCATTGGCCAGTGTACAGGCCGTACCCTAGCACAAGTGAAGTCTGCAGTACAGAAGTGTGGTGATATGGGAAGAGTGGCAGAACAGGCTCGAGCCGCACAAAAGACAATGTTTGCGGCCCCAAAACTTCAGATAAGAAAGGTTTTTGCTGCACTAAAAGAAATTGCTCACATGACTGGTATGTTTTCTGCTACACTCTGCATGTGAATAGAAGAATGTTTCTTTCTTTTTTTAGTGGACTGCTTGTGGGTACACGTCAATAGACACAACAGTGATATTGCCATCATGTAATTTTAAACATCCTCTCCTGGACACAGGGCACTGATATCTGACACTGACCCTCCGAGGTACACTCACGGTTGATACCACCTAGTCCTTTCAAGAATCTCAAAAAGATCTAATGGAACCAGTGGTGGATTTACCTATAGGTAGGGTATGGATACTGCAGTATCAGGGCACTTTCAATGAACTTGTTACATTTGTACGTATTCCTTTTTGACTACGCGCTTACTAGAGAGTGCTAACGTAATTATTGCAAACAGTCGTGACATGGGATATTTTTGAATGAAACAGTAGAGAAGAATTGGAGAAATATCATCATGTCACGTCCCATTACAAAAGGATGGTCTTGTAATCACACTAACCTAGTGGCCACTTGTGTGACAAAGGTTCAACATATCTTTTAAGATGCGTGCTTAGCCAGTGTGGTACCATTGTGTAGAGATTGTAATGCAGCCCAGGTCTTAATTGAATCAAAGGGTTTCTTGTAGTCCACCAATGAGGTAGGCCACATTCCTACAAGAACTGCCGCTCCATGTGTTTGCAGTCAATAGTATTGCATCATTTTTAGAAATTCAATAAGTCACATACATGACTCACAAGTGAGATGGGTCAATAGAACACTTAGTGAATATTATCATCTACCCCTACTTAGGGCACTAATAGTCCCGTATGGACGACTTATCCACCTGCTTTCAGAAGTTCTGCAATAATTCCTTTACAACCGCTGTAATCCTTCTCATTACTGGGCTCTCCCAATGTTGATAATTAATCCTTGAATGATAATGATTTCAGGTCAAGCATCAGTGAATAAGAAAATAAATAAAATCCAGTCCTTGTATGTCGCCTGCAGAGATTGTGAAGCACGATTCCTAATAAGGTAACATTCAACACTCTAGATCCTCTACTTTGTCCAACTTGTCTGACTTGGTCCAGCTAATGTCTGTGGAAATGTACTGAACTGATTTGTCTCTGCTCCGATGTGTGCGGTAGCGCTCAACATTATTTTGTCAACCACATTTACTCAAATAGTTAATAATCAATATTTGACACTAGCTGACCCGGCAGACTTCGTAGTGCCTCAATCAATAAATAAAAAACCCAAACTTTTGTATAAAATAAATTTAAAACAAACAAAAGGAATTTTCATATTTATCTACCTTTTAAACCTTTTCTGGACTTCCACAAATAATTCATAACCAAAATTAGCCAAATCGGTCCAGCGGTTCTTGAGTTTTAGTGACACTAACGAACAGCAATTCATTTTTATATTTTTTTTTTTATTTTTTTTTTTTTATTGCCCTTGTAGGCAGACGAGCATACGGCCCACCTGATGGTGAGTGGTTACCGTTGCCCATGGACTTCAGCAATGCCAGGGGCAGAGCCAAGCCGCTGCCTAAAAATATATATAGATTAAGTCAAAAACCTTGGACTTGATCCATCGGAATTTCACTCCACTCTTTATTGAAAGCTTCCTAAAAAGCGTTTTTGTTCAAATAATGTTAATTCTTACTTTGTGGTCTAGCTGATGTTTTGTAGCATTCTAATTTGGATTTTGACTTGGCCATTCTAAAACTTTGACTTTTTGCGTTTCAAAAAGTCACTAATGAACTGGGATTTGTGTCCGGGACGTCCCCAGCGGGCGTTCCCCCAGCTGGCGTCTCCCAGGTAGTGTTGCAGGTCTGTGTGTGTCGCCCCCAGGTCCCTGGAGGGTAAGCTGCGCATCGGCCTGGCGGAGCAGTCGGTGCTGCACGCGCTGGCGCTGGCCGTCGCCACCACGCCGCCCGGACCCAACCTGCAGCTCGACGCGGCGCAGCACATGTCCGCTGACAAGTTCAAGGTTGTCCACCGGCGCGACCTTCCCTCTGCAAACTTCACTTCCGCACAGTTATTAAAAGAAAAAATAATTTATGTGTTTGTCGGAATATTAGCATATATCTTATTAAATACAAGTCAGTCATTGTGATACGGCGGTGCAGTACTGTCGGGAAGGTGGCAGGTGTAGTCGGTACAGCAGCGTGGGTGTTGCAGGCGCTGGTGGAGCAGCACGTGGCGGTGGTGCGGCGCACGTACTGCGAGTGCCCCGACTGGGCCGAGCTGCTGCACGAGCTGCTGCGCGGCGGCGTGGCGGCGCTGGCCTCCCGCTGCAGCATGCGCGTCGGCGTGCCGCTGCGCCCCATGCTCGCGCACCCCACCCGCGCCGTGCGCGACGTGCTCGCCAGGTACCGCCGCGCCGCCTCCACCCCCTCCCCCTCCCCCTCCCCCTCCCCCTCGTGACGAGCGCCTGTTGCAGGTTTGAGAATGAAGAGTTCACCTGCGAGTACAAGTACGACGGCGAGCGGGCCCAGATCCACGTGCCCGCCGCGCCCGACGACAAGCCGGACTTCGCCAACGCTGCCATATTCAGCAGGAACCAAGAGAATAATACCGCGTAAATATATACAACGCGTTTACTTACGTAAATCAGATGCTCGAGTGCAATGAAGTTCTTCTTAAAGGTGTTAAATGTCGTTGTGCAGCAAGTACCCGGACGTGCTGAGTCGCCTGCCCACGCTGCTCAAGGAGGGCGTGTCCAGCTGCGTGCTGGACTGCGAGGCGGTCGCCTTCGACGCCGCCAACGGCAAGCTGCTGCCCTTCCAGGTCGGTGCACGCCCCGCGCGTGGACATGCTCCAGTCGCTGGAGGAGTTACTACAGTGGCGTGGTGGGTCCGCAGGTGCTGTCGAGCCGCAAGCGTGCGTGCGCGAGTGCGGAGGACGTGCGCGTGCCGGTCTGCGTGTTCGTGTTCGACCTGCTGTACCTCAACGGCGCCCCGCTGGTGGGCAGCACGCTGGCGCACCGCCGCAAGCTGCTGCGGGAACACTTCTGCACCCAACCCGGTGACTGCGCCCTCCGCCCCGACACCGCGCCGACGAGCCCGGCTCCACGCAGCGGCTCATTCAACTATATATACTCTTGCAGGTACATGGCAGTTCGCCACGTCCAAAGACTGCAGCACCATCGAGGAAGTGCAGCTGTTCCTTGAAGAAGCTGTGAAAGAAAGCTGCGAGGGGCTCATGGTGAAGATGCTCACTGGTGACAATTCGAAGTATGATATAGCCAGGAGGTCACACAATTGGCTAAAGGTATGATAAGTAATTCATAAATTATTATAATATTTGCTAAATAAGCAATGGACCGGTCGCACTGGAAATCTATTGGAGAGGCCTATGTTCAGCAGTGGACGGCGATAGGCTGAAATGATGATGATGATGAAGCAGGCGACGGCTTGACTCTACCCCTGGCATTGCTGAAGTCCATGGGCGACGGTAACCACTCACCATCAGGTGGGCCGTATGCTCGTCTGCCTACAAGGGCAATAAAAAAAAGTCAGAAGTTATTGTAACATTTATTTTTAAAAAAACAATTATTTAATAGAAGGCTTATCCGCCCACCGAGCTAAACCACCCCTTACCGACCTCCCTCGAGTATGTCGTCTACCAAATATTATTTGACTGTGTGTGATGTCGCTTGGGGCCAAAGCCAAAATGCACAAGCGACTGCCATATCTTGTACGCTGGTGCACGATGGTTTAACCCCATTGGAAATCGTAAATAGTACATAATTGCTTTAAAAAAATGTTAGAATTACATGAATACGTTTAGCAATTTAAACTCATTGGTGTTCCACGGATGTGAATTAATACATGTTTTAATGTAACGAGGGTCCGCCCAGAAGGTCCGAGAGCATGTGCTCTTTGTCTGATCGATACAATTGAATAATTAAAGTTGAAGAAAGACTACTTGGAAGGCGTCGGAGACACGGTGGACGCTGTCATTATCGGAGCCTACCGCGGCAAGGGCAAGCGCGCCGGCGTCTACGGAGGATTCCTGGTCGCGTGCTACGACCCCGAGTCCGAGCAGTTCCAGTCGCTGTGCAAGCTGGGGACCGGCTTCTCCGATGAGGACCTGCAGATCTTGTCCGACATGCTGAAGGAACACATTATTGATTCTCCGAGAAACTACTACAAGTACGTACCCTAAATGTCTTGTTGAAACAGATTCGATGATCTAACGATAGAAGCTCTTGTCTCACTTGAGATTTTGTATAAATGAATGCAGTTAAATTGTATGTTCAAGTGCAAATTATAGTTTCACAAAAAGTTCTGTGTGTAACTGGTTACATCATACCACTGACCTACGCAAGATTGCAAACTTGGGTGGCTGTGAGCACTTGTTCAAATCCTGTTAATGANCTTGTCCGACATGCTGAAGGAACACATTATTGATTCTCCGAGAAACTACTACAAGTACGTACCCTAAATGTCTTGTTGAAACAGATTCGATGATCTAACGATAGAAGCTCTTGTCTCACTTGAGATTTTGTATAAATGAATGCAGTTAAATTGTATGTTCAAGTGCAAATTATAGTTTCACAAAAAGTTCTGTGTGTAACTGGTTACATCATACCACTGACCTACGCAAGATTGCAAACTTGGGTGGCTGTGAGCACTTGTTCAAATCCTGTTAATGACGAAGTCGAGTAGTAAGTAACAACTGAAGTAGAACAGATGGTGATGGTCAGATCATGATGGATTTCTGTGTCCAGCTACGACAGCTCCCACTCCGCCGACGTGTGGACCAGCGCCGCCGTGGTGGTGGAGGTGCGCTGCGCAGACCTGTCCCTCTCGCCCGCGCACCGCGCCGCCATCGCGCGCCTGCACCCGCACAAGGGCGTGTCCCTCCGCTTCCCCAGGTAAGCACGTTATTAATGTTTACGGACTATGGTACCGCTTAAGATACGCATCCATTGGCTGCGCTGGACGCACCGTATGCTACGGATTTTATTTTGCTTTTGTGCTTTTGCTCATAAATGCCGGTGCGTCTAGTGTGGGTGGCGCGGATAGTGGACGCAGCACTATGTGAAATCATACCAAGCAAAATAAAATCCGGTGCGTGCGTGCGTGCGTGCGTGCGTACGGTGCGTGCGTGCGTGCGTGCGTACGGTGCGTGCGTGCGTGCGTGCGTACGGTGCGTGCGTGCGTGCGTGGGATGCGTGCGGCCTCGCCCCAGTAGTCGCGTCGCCTGCAGGTTCGTGCGGGTGCGGGAGGACAAGGCGGCGGAGCAGGCCACCACGGCGGCGCAGGTGGCGCAGCTCTACCTGGCGCAGGACCAGATCAAGAACCAAGTCAAACAACCTGATGCCGCTCACGAAGACGACTTCTACTGAGCGCGTCCAACTAACATGAACTGAGTTACTTCACATACCCCGTTGTGTCTGCTTAAATTAGATAATGTTTACAAAATAAAAGACTTATTTTGATGTTATGTAGTAGTTTTATTTCAAAATTTACCTATTTGTACTTAAGATTAAACATGCACAAGTATTATGTGAAACACCTCATTGTTTCTATTGAAAGTTGTGCGACGGAGACTTACACTTCATAAAATGAACATTGACACGTTTGATACGAACAAAGTGAACACATTCACAAACATTAAAAGGTCCAAAAATGGAATACGCGTTACTCAAAACATGTTCACTAATCATATTAATATCATAAAAACACAACCCGGTCACGTGAGCTCCCTTGTGGCCTCAAAGTGTCCGCCGCGCGCGGTGCCGTGAGGTCCGACAGCGCCTCAACTAACTAACTAATCTACGTGTTGGTTCCGCATCATTTAACTACAACTAAGCTCGTATCGCTAGAGGCAAGACTGTCATTATTTACATGTTCATTTAATAATAATTAAACTTATTCCAACGATAAGTAAACATTTCAAGGTCAATAAATACCAACAGAGAGATTCGTCCTCAACTAGCTCGCGGACAATCTCAATTGCATAAGAAACAGGTTTTCATAAAATGTCGATGTACGATGTATTTATTCTCGCATTATAAGAAATTTGTTTTCATAACTTTTATTAAATCTATAAGAGTGTTGAATAAACCATAATTACATACATGAGCAATACATAAAATGTACATTAGGGGAGCGAAACAGCGAAGAGTGGTAAGGTACCGGCCGCCATGTCCCGCGAGACATCACACTGTACAGGCGTCAAGGCGTTCAGTCAGTCGACTCCTAGTTTGGCACAGCGTCGCGTCGCGGTCGTGACGTCACCGTGACGTCACTCCGCCCGCTACAAGAGCGCGACCCTCTCTGGCGGCGCCGGGCTGTCTGCGGCGGACAGCAGGTTGTCCTGTTCCTACACAAATCATTTCAATTAAATCGCTAAAAAATAACATCTGGAATAACAATATTACAACCGCCGATATTTTTAACCATACAAATTACTCTATGGACAGTTCTCTTCCCTACTTGTTGCCGCTGTGTTTGTATAAATAAATACAGTTATCCACTGAACTCTGAATAGGGATGCCAGCAACACAAGTAGATACAGTTGGTCCCAATCCATCGATTAACAATGTGTTAACAAATATCGTTATAAAATGTCCCTATTTATCAAACGCCATATTTTTGTTCGAAGTATAAGAAGCCTCTGTAGTTGTAACCAGTAACTTGGCTGGGCGCCCATCGATTGCCGATATCCATGGGTCATGGTAAGTAAATATACGTGGGTGGACGACCTATCGTCTAAAGCTTTCGTCAACAGAAGCACACACGCAAAGGAGCGATTCAGTGTGTAAACAGATTTTTATTTTCGGTTTTTTTTTGGCCTTTAGTAATGTAAAAATATCGTTTTTCGCCGTTTTTAGAAGAAAAAATGATCAAAATATCTAAATAAAAGATGAAATGTAATGAATACACATGTACCTAAATGAAGTGACATTATGGTCGTCTGTAGAACGCAGTAAAGTTTTTTTTTTTTATGATTTAAAAATTACTGGTAGCCCGGAGGCCTTTCCAGTTTCACCAGGACAGGTGGGCGAGCAAAGGCTCAGCCAGGAGAGGTGGGATTTGCTAACAACTGCGCGAAGGAGACCTAACAACTCAAGAGCAATTGCTTCGCGAATTGAACTACTACCGGATTGGAATCGCGACCCGCTGAGAAGATCCGGCGAGAAACTCAACGGGCTGATGCATGGGTTAGGTTGTATGTCGACCTCTTTGTCGAGTTCGATGAGTACGGTTACCAGGGTCCCTAAGCTCGCTCCTAGTGTTAGAGCTGAAGGCGTCTAATGCAATGGTTATTGGAACTGATGGATCCGTAAGGACGTGTCTAGGGCGTCGTCGGTGGCTGGCTCCTGCATGATCAGGATTCGAGGAGTAGTCAGCGGTGGCAACGATGAGGCGATTATCATGACGCACAATAAAGTGACGAAAGTGGTAGGTCCCTCACCTCGGTCGGGTTCTGTTGAGGAGCGTACACACTCTCGTACACGGGGTTGGCGAAGTGCTTGCCGCCGTTCTGCAAGCGTGAGGGTCTCGTTAATAACACGCATCAGCAGCAACTAACCACAGCGCGGACTCCAGCACGCGACCCACCGGGGCCAGCCGGAGCCACCCAGGCGGGCCGACTTTGCCCCTTTACTAACTTTTAGCCCCCGCGTGATCAAAATTATAAATTTGATAGATTATTGGTGCCTCCGTTAAGAATATTTCTCAAAAGATGTAAAGTTTTGTTTAGATCGAAAGTTTTTTCGGCTTCGTGTTCTTAAATGCTGATATTGTTGTAGTTCAGGCTTTTTTATAGCCTTCGTATGCAGCACACGGCCCACCGCATGGCAGGTGGTTAGCGTCGCTCATAGACGTCAGCCGTGCCAGAGTCTGTAGTGGCTGTCTCCTGCTGAGCACTCTCCGCGAACTTCGTTTGAAGAAGATAGCACCGCGCTTGGGAAACACCGTGGAGGGAGTTCATTGTAAAACTGGATGAGGCGTGGCAAAACAGATCTCTGGAGACGCACTGTAGATGAATTTTGCTCCGTGGCAATTCCTTAAAGCACTTTTCATGCAAAATAGACATTCGGTTTAAATTATTACGCCTTATTTTTCTTTAAAAAACAGCACTTGTTTATGTGGAGTTTACTATTTTAGTATGTTATAATGTACAAAGTGGGCACCGGCCAGTATGCGGCGTGCGCTACGTAGTGACGTACCGTGTGCGCGCCCTCGGGCTCGTCCTCCCCGGCCAGGTACATGGGGTTGTTGATCTCGACGTTGTCCGCCAGCCGGGCGTGCACGAACGCGCCGCTGAAAGTACACATTACGTACAGTTGACTCACTGTCGCGTGCTCATGGACATGCCAATAATTGGGATTTAGAAAAAATAAAAGCTTTGAAGTAAGTCCGTTTATATTAAATTCTGGTCAAAAGAGCTACGTACTGCCTTCTCCTGTGCAGAACGAATAGGGCCGCAAATACAGCACCAGCTAACGCTATAAGTGCTAGTATCGCTCCCGCCCACGCGCCCGCTCCCGCACCCGCACCCGCGCTGTCCACCGCTCCCGCGCCCGCCACCTCGGGCCGCTCCAAGCATCGCTCGCCACCCGGACATACACAGTGTGTGGATCCAGCTTCTGTTGCACTGGCTGTAATATTATAATTAGATCCGGATATTTATTTATTTGGGAAACAAACAGTACAATACAAACATATAATATTTAAAAAAATATAGCTAAAACAATAACCAAATATGTTTCCACAATCAAAATCACATATAAGTAGAAAGTGAACAAGAAGAGAAATTTAGAAATTTAAATTACAAAAAAACAAAAGCAACACAATACGCACATATTATTTTATACATCAACTATACTACTTATCGGGCTAAATCACCTTATAAATGTTTTAAAATAGCTTTTCTATATGCTACAAGTGACAAGCAAAAGATGTCAGCATTAGAGAACTTAGCATCATACAACCTACAAGATCTACGGACAAAAGAGTTAGAAGCATATTTCGTTCGAGCCGTGGACATGTGAAAGGTCTGTTTAGAACGCGCGGAAATACGACTACATTTAAATGAAATTTTGGAAAGAAGATAGCTTGAATCAATCTCGTTATTTATTATTTTATATAAAAACATTTGATCTTTCAGTAGCCTGCGATCGACTAGAGAGACAACTTCTGTCGGATCTGGAGAGTTAAAGCGACGACAATGGTATAAAAGATGCTTAAAAAACTTTTTTGGACTCTTTTTAGTCGCTGAATATAAATATTATATTGGGGATTCCATGTGACGGAGCCATATTCCAATATAGATAGATATATTTTGGTATTTACAAAATATTATCTGTGTAAGTATAGCTACAATAATAAATTGAATAAATTATACGAGTGGTTATTAAATGATTTCATTAATAGATTCAGATCACTGCGTTTTCATTCTTTATACTAGTCATAAAAATACGCATCTGCCAAGATTGATAATGAACTTTTAAAATTAAGTAGCAACTTCTAATAGCACTAACAAAGCGATTGAGTGAACTTACTGTCTGGTCCCCAAACGCACAGAGCAGGGTGTTGACACTTGTTATGGCAGGCGTGGTCGTGTCCCACGTACAGCGTGCAGTGCGCTCCGCCCCACGGGCCCGCGCACTCGCAGACCTCGCCCTGCTCTGTGTGCACGCACGAGCCGCCGTGGTCGCACGGGCTCGCCCCGCACGGTACTGCCGCCGGCTCTGTAACGCACAAACATTAACTACAATAGTAAATGTAACTGTAAACACATTATAGTGACAGGTACGAGGGGGAAAATCTTCGACTGAGCAGATGTTCTTGCTCGGTAGACAGCCAAACGTTGTTCTTGGGAGCTTACATTTAAACAAGCTTGTCATATAAATGTCGATCGCACAATTGAAGTGCTTGCCAAATACTTACTTACCTTCTATCCGTTGACGGCTGTAACCATACATACAAGTGTTACACAAACAGACTGGTGCCCAGCTTCGGATGGCCAAGACAATCATAGGGCAAGCAATATAACATAACGACTTGACAATAATTCATTATCATAAAATTAATGACACCTATTTGTAAATAAAATACAAACTTTACAATTGCAAGACCTTGTTAATTATGAAGATCTTAATAAAATAACTGGTTTCTATAATTAAAAACTACAACAAATGCTAATGACGTTATACGTTACCTAGCATCTAATAATAAAATTATTAATCGTATTTTTTTGATACGAGGAAAATCTTTTAAGAACTCCGATCGGATTTACGAAGAGGGAAACGTTTTGAATGTTCATGAAGGTCGTAAATTAGGTAATATTTATGCTGCATGAGGAAATGGCAAAAACCCCAAAAATTGGCGGAGTTTCCTCAAATAGAATTTTTTTTTGCTGGGAATTCCGCAATTGATTTAAAGATATGTCATGTTTCATAAGTGTCATAGCGCTATAAAAAATGGTATCCT